GGCAGTGGGGTTTCTGCACAGCATTCACCCTAGAAATTCAAAAGCTCATATTAAAGCTGTGAATCCCACAGTCCTGGGATTAAAAGCTGTCCCTGCAATCCTGCAAGTCCTAAAGGAAATGGGTTCCACCACATGGTCTGAGGTGCATATTCCCACGTACCTGTTCAGGGGTGTACAACAACCTGCTCAAGATTTGGGTCTGCAGAATGATGGGTCTGAAACATCCCCCCCCCCCTTCCCTTGCTTTCCAAACAGGTTGCTAGAGGAAAAACCCTTATGTCCCCCTCTCTGGAGGCAGGAGAGGCCGCTTGAACTCAGAATGCAAAGGCCAGTCTAAATGCCTGATGGGGGACACCTGCCTGCTCTTCCACTGCCACTGCTGGAAAGCTGTGACAGCTCCAAAGTGCATCAGGTGAGAGAGAGAGCAGAAACTGTAAGAAAAAAACAACCACCACAGAGACAGAACAGAGAAACAGGGATCTGCTCGCAGGTTTTAGCACCAGGACTTCCTGTGCCCCTCAGACACCAAGGCAACAACTGACTGGCTTTAGAACTGCTGCCCAAAGCAAAGCAGGAGCCTGCTGTTCCATCCACAGGGCAGGCAGGGAGATGGGAAAAGAAACACGGCAAGGAAAGCTGTGAAAAGCAAAGGACAACATGCTGAAGTCCCTCAGCACCACACCTTGAAAACAGAAATAAAAGTGCACAGCAGCAACATCAGCTTTTCTCTTTCAAAGTATCAGAGGCCTCAGACAGTGACCAAACCACAGCACCAGGTAAGAAAATGATCCTTGCTCGAGGAGCTGTAAGGAAACTGGAACAAAACCACCAGCGACTAAACTTATTTGCATGAGAGCAACCACCTTAAGTATCTTCCAGTCAGACTCTAAGGTAAAGTACTGGAGGACTCTCAAAGACAACACTCCAGGTCATAAAGCACAGGTGAGATGAAAAGAGAAACCTCCTGGGCTGTACCCACAGGTGCAGTCAGCCCTTACCCACCCAGGGCTCCAGCCAGCACAGCTGCAAAGCCAGGGATCCACGGGCAACCCTTTGAGCCCATCTCCTTTTTCCCCACCCAAAAAGTGCCATGCCGAGCTCACGCTGCACACACACTGTAGTTCACCACAGCTCTTCAGCCTCGGAAGGGACCCCGACCTGCCTCCACCTGTCTGGAAGGGGCAAGGTCGGCTTCAGAGGCAGAAAAACTCACTGGACACGTCCACCACATAAAGGCAGAGCACATTAAAACTTCCGGGCTTTGCTCTCTCTCCAGCGAGCCGAGCCGGCACTCGGATAAACAGAAAGAGCAAGAGGAAGAGGAGTATCTCTTACACAGAGCCCTCAGCGCCGGGGACAGCTGTGTTTGGGTCTCCTTCCTGCAGCAGCTCCCACGGCAGATACCTGAAATGTCGAGATGTCCCAAAGGCACCCACACCGAGCGGGGAGGGGAGGGGGGGGTCAGGAGAGAAGAACAACCTTTTATCCTCCTCTCCCCACCAGCTCCGGCTTATGCCGGGACTGGCCTTGAGGGGAAGGAGAGGAGAGGGAAAGGACCCGGTCCTGAGGGAAGCTGAGGGGGGACGGAGTGTCCCCGATCCCGAGGGAAAGCGGGGGGGGCCGAGGGGGAAGGGGAGGGTGGTGACGGACACGGGGATGGACACGGGAGAGCCGGCTCTGAAGGGAAACAGGAGGAGAACGACCTGTCCCCGAAGAGAAGCGAGGGGAAGGACCTGGCCCCGAAGGGACGGACGGGACGGACACTGGGCCCTCAGGGGGGTGGGGAGGACACCCCGGGCAGGCCCCGGGCAGGGGTCCGGCGAGGCCCAGGGACGCCCCCTCTGCCGCTCGGTCGGCCCGGCGGTGGCACAGCGGCACTGCCGGGCCCCGCGGGGACGGCGGAGCCCTCCCCACACTCCCGGGACCCGCGGGGGTGCCGGCTCTGTCCCCACACTCCCGGGCCCGGCGGGGGTACCGGTGCTCTCCCTGCGCTCCCGGGCCCCGCTAGGGTGTCCCCGCACTCCCGGGCCCCGCGGGGGTGCCGGCGCTCTCCCCACACTCCCGAGCCCCACGGGGGTACCGGGGGTGCCGGCGCTGCCCCCGCACTCACCGGCCCCGCTTCATTTAACCGCCGCTGCCGCCGCTTCCGCCCGGCCCGCGCCACGTGACCGCGCCGCCCCGCACCACAGAGAGGCGCGGACAGAGCGGCGCGGGGGGACGGGCGGCTCGGGCGAGCCCGGAGCGGCCGAACAACCATAGAGACGGGGGGAGGTCCGGCGAAGCCGCGCCACGCCCCCTGGCGGGCGGGAGGTATGCTCGTGGGGAGGGGGCGGGGCCTAAAGGGAAAGGGGCGGGGCCGGGGCAGCACGTGTGTCCTAGCGGCGGGGGGGGGGGGGGGGGGGGGGGGGGGGGGGGGGGGGGGGGGGGGGGGGGGGGGGGGGGGGGGGGGGGGGGGGGGGGGGGGGGGGGGGGGGGGGGGGGGGGGGGGAACAGGGAGTCCTTGGGGGGTTCGATTTGGGGACAGGGACTTTATTTGGGGTTCTGTGCCGGGAACCCCACGGGGGGCTCTGCTGAAAGGGGAGAACACCAGCCCACAGACTCAGACTCGCACCCGTCCTCCTCCGTTTGCGAAACACCAGTAATTACAAAAAAAAAAAACCCAACAGGAAAGCAGAGATTCATCAGCGTTCATGACTTTTTTTCCAGCTCTCGTTACGGGGGAGATCATCATTTCCTTCTGGAAACTGAGGGTTTGGAAAAGTATCAGGACAAATGATAAAAGGTAAAAAGGTTGAGGCTGGTAAGTAATCGGCTGAAGAATGAATGAAACAAAGTGTTCTCCCTGCAGGGGAGGACTTTCATCTGGGCCGTCCATACAGATCAGTTAAACCAGTTGCATTTCCATGCTTTATCCACTCAATTCCCATAAATTTAACAAATTTAACAACGCTTAACAAAAAAACCCCGTTGGATAGCAAGAGTTTAAAGTTGTGAGTTTATTGCATATGTAACAAAAATGAACATGACCTCCTGGGTCCAGCCTACTATACAATCACTGTTTATTCCAGCTGGTTCCATAACCACATTAAATAGAACTAGTATTTCTTTAAATACTTTGATTTAGACATAAAATGAAACATTAGTGTACAACTTTCACAAAATAAATCTGCAATAAAAACGGTGGGAAGAATAACAAGGATAGCAGCAATACTTAAAACATGACATTACAAAATAATAATAAATTAAAAAAATACATTATAAAGTGGTCGAGGAACAACAACAACAACAAAAAAAAATTAACAAATTAAAACCAGATCCATACTGTGTTTCTGGGAACTTGCTGTACCACACGGCCCTGAACCTGGGCACCGGCTCCAGAGGGGCCCGGTGGCTGGATCAGTAATTTACGGAATCTGCTGGATTTTGGAACCACCTCGACTTGAAGTGAGGCCAAACCGCTGAGCGAGCGCTGGTCGCACCGCCCGGAGCCTGGAGCAGCCTTTGTGGAGCGGGGTCTCCTCCGACGTAATGCCCAAGTGAACACTCACACCCATCCCACAGTCTCGTTTCCTCCCGGCTGGAAACACGAGCAGAGTGGTGGTGGTTTTTTCCTACATCCCTGAGCGTAGAGTAAAGGCTGAGGAGCAGGATCAGGGCACGGCAGCTGCTGGGTTTGCCGCGAGGACAGGAACGACAGACACGCTGTACCTCGTATTCCCTTCGGGTCAGATCCAAGAGCATCCGCGCACAAGGTGGGACGTGGAATGACAAAATGGACACCGGACTCGATGTTATTCTTTGGGCAAGTTTTGAGAAGTTAACAACCAGTTCAAGTGCTGGCAGACCGAGTGGGAATGGACACACCAATTCAGGCAGCTGAGGTTATCCGAGCCACACAAACTCCTGTTTGCATCCCGTCCTTCCCTGGCCTCGGAACTGGCCACAGGAAGCACAAGCCGTGGCTCCAAACCCTCTCTGCCTCGCTTCTCGCTGCTCCTCCATCCACCCAACCAGCTTTAAGGCCTGCCTCAAACGCACGTACAGAACAAGACAGGGAATGTCGTCGTCGTCGTCGTCGCTGAAGTGGCATGAAATTGCAAAGACAACACGATGGGAGAGCTGGTGAAGCTGTTGGAAAGAGAACTGAAATAATCAAAAAGACAGTGCCCCGTCCTCGTCGCCGTCAGCACAGAGGAGGTACCTCGACAAGGGCTTTAAAATACAGCAAAAAACAGACGGACTTTTCGGAACAACGATCCTTGCCTAATCTTATTTTGTGCATTCAATAAAACACTGACCTAGCAAAGACATTAGGAACTATCGTATGTCAACTGTGTCGCTGACATAAAGCTACTTGACCTACAGATCTCCAAATCAAGGGCCTTCTCCCTTCACCTCGCTTGGTTTGCACTGAGCCAGTTGTGTTGCAGGTAGAGCTTTGCGTGATAGGATTTTTGTTAGGGCTGGCCTTTAGTATCTGGCTTTGGGGTCTTCTTTTTTTTTTTTTTTTAAACTCTTTTAGTGACAAATCCACATGAGACTGCATGCAAAGCTTTTGGGCAATAATCCATTTTCCATTTTTTCCTATCTGACTGGTTTATTGCACATTCAAACTTACTGAAAGGATTAAATACACTCTATGAACAGGTCTGGCTTCCAAGCCATTTGGAAAAGCTCGGGCTGTGAGGACTCTGCTACTCCACCTGATGCCACAGCTGCATCTCCTCTCTCCTCTGCAAGAGTTGTGTAGTTCCATTTACGTCCCGACAACCAGAACTGCAGAAACTGGTCCCCAAGTGCCAAAAGATCCCCTACAGAACACGGGTCTGAACAGGCCTCTCCTGTAGAGTCTTGCAGGATGAGCATCTTCAGCCACCCCCTGCAAATCTCACTGCGTGGTACAATTTCACACCTCCAATGCAACCCTTAGTCCCAACAGCAAATCACAAGAATTATGGTCAATGGCAAAAGGAAAACCACAAACAAACAAAACAGAAAGATGCCAGGGTTTTGACACGTGTCTACTTTCTGTCCTATCACAGTTTAAAGCTATTATCAAATTCAATTAAAAAAAAAAGACAAAATAGAAGTATTCCAGTAGACGCCTCCTAAGAACGATCTCTTACCCACGGCCGAATTTCAATGCCCTATTCCATAAACATAACATCTGTTAAATGGTTCAGTAATGAATCTCTCTAAATATCAGGCTTGCCAAAGAAAAAAAAAATCCTATACGAGCAAGTCTGCTTGACTTAGGTTTAGACATGTTTGACAGATAAGTGGGTCTCTCTGAAGCCGTGTTATTTGTTAAAATACTGTCTCATCTCAGTGTGCAAAGTGGGGAAAAATGTTAGTGATTCAGGTATTTGATTTGCTTTTGTTTCCCCCGTGTTAAGAGAACAAACCTTTCAATATTAGTTTCAGATATTTGAAAAAACAGCCTTATATGGCTCTCTGGAGAAATTTTCATCCCTACAGAACTGAAGTCATAAATTCTTCCAGCAGCTTTCCACACTTTAAATGGACTCACTATATGGTTCCCCTTTCACCTCAACCTCCAAATAAACCTTTCCCAAGGCCAGAAAATTTGCAGCAGAAGTTTGCTCTGTTAACTCGGCTTTTAGTGATTTCCATGTGAGTCTCGGAATTTAAAAGTCAGGCAAACGCATCTGGGGTAAAACAGTGGCACAGAAATCACAGCTTTGGAGCTGAACGGATCTTCACCCTCTGTCTCCTCCTCACAAGGCTTCTCTGCAAACTACTTACTTCTGAATGAACTATGGAAAGTAATTCTGCAGGAGGAAATTAATTGTTGTCATGTGCAAAACAATCAGATTTCAGCCAGGACAACCAAAAAGACACCATTCGATACCATTTAAGCTGTCTCAGATTCCTTCACTTTTCTCAAGGTGAGCCACAGCTTCCACTGGGAGCTTCCTGCTAAGGCAGAACTTGGATTTCTTTACCTTTCAGTTAAGTGTTCATATGGAGGTATTTTCTGCTAGAAGTTTTTTTACTTTTTCAACAGGTGTTTAAAATGTGCAATGCAAATTCTGGTGCCAGTCAGACACTCTGCACCTGCTGGACTCTACAAAGGCTCAAGTTTGATTTAAGACAAACTAACCAGATGCACCTACCGGCTGCAAGTTCTCAGCAAATTAAGCTCATTCCTAATTACACTTTGATTCTCCTATTAAAAAAAAAAACCCACAGGTCGCTCACCCTATCACAATATGTGTTACAAATCTAGCAGAATATCCTGTGTAACCAAAGCCAAATGCTGAACTTGGCTGCATTTCGTTTGGGGGTGGGGGTGGGGGTAGGGGGTGGAACAAGAGGGAAGGGGTTATTGTAACAAAGGGGAGAAAATAGAGTTGGGAACCACCAACAAAAGCCCCGACCCCCCACCCCTCATCCACCAGCGGCGGAAGGGAAACAGCCCGATCTCTAAGTTGTCAGAGTTCTGATGCTTCAGACAGCTTAGCAGGAAGTTCACAGCAAGCTTCTTCTAGCTTTTGATTTGGTGGTCCATGAGCTAGCATCTGTTTCCTTTGGTTGCTTTTTTCACTCCACAGCAAACCCACATGTCTCTTCCACAGCTGTCAACAGCTTCTCATAAAGCTTCTCATATGACTCGTAAGGCGGAATGTCGATCCGGTTAAAGCTGGAGGGGAAATAAGAACACACTGGTCAATCTGAAATATTTATTGAGGGGGGATGGGGAATGCTGGAGCAGCTACATATAGATAGAACTTGTGAAAACTCCAAGAAAGCCTCAGCCACTTCAGTGGCCGAAGGAGACGGGATGAACAACAACTATTTCTGCAGCAGGAATGCACGGCTTAATAGGGAGGAGGAAGAGAGGAGGCTGATGCAGGAGACTTGCAAATAAAGCAAGACATCAGGCAGGCCTGCTCCCTGCCCTGCCTGCAGACAGCCTGTGCTGCTGCTGAAACCATTTCCTGCCTCTGATGGAGTGAGATTTCCGTGCAAGGGCTCGGGCTGTGCCTACACCGCATCAACAGCACGAGCTCCTGACGTCTGACAACTCAGCTTTGTAATAAAGAAACAAACTTACAAATGTCTGACTATCCAGAATAATCAGCTCTGGCAGAAATGAAAACCACAGAGAGTAAAGAAGACAAATCAAGGTTTAAGAAAAGAAAATTATTTTGCTGGCTGCAGAGTACAGATATTTCCAAGCTAACAGAGCGCACCTGGAGTCATCCATGTACATCCCTTGGCTAATCCATCCCCAGTACAAACAGAGATGACTCCTTTAAATCAAGACAAAGGGAGAGCAAGCACTGCTGTGCAGAGTGTTTCCATCTTACCAAGTGTGGGCTTTTGGAAGGTTGTCTGTGTTTGCATCTATTAAATGGATGGTAAACAGTCTGGGTCCTGCAGCGCCTGTAGAACCTTAGACAGACATTCTAGTTAATGCACTTCAACAAAACATCATTCACACACACAAATTTTGCTGCTTATAAAAAGGCATGAGAGGAAATTACAGTTCCAGCTGCAAACCTAAGTATGTCCCAGGCTAAATCTGCAGAGATATTTGCAGCTGATGACGGGGTGGCAGATGCAATAGGGCTGCCCAAGACAACCAATTTGCAGGCTGATACTTTGGAAAGCTGCTACATCTGGTATTAACAAAGCTGCACCTTCGAGAAAGAAAAGACTAAAGTGCAAGAAGGTTTTCCTTGTAAACCAGAACTACGTATTTTAATTTTGAACATCAATTTACTGTCAGCCAACAAATGGAATGCGATCAGGAGAACCCAGCAGCCAAGGGCGCTGCCACCTTTTCGATGACAAAACCTGTGATTTCCAGAAACTTGCTTTAAAGTCCAACGGTTTGTTGCCAAACTAAGAAGGGAGGGCAATTCTCACGTGAAAAAGTCATTCAGTCAGCTCTGTATTCCCGTGGATGTTTGCATGCAATGATTTTAACATCAGTGCACAGAGCTGTAGGACACTGAGGAGCCAGTATTAACACCAGCCAAGGCACTGCACGGTAACAGATTTACCAAACCCTGCGGCAGCCCCAGAGCTGCTGACAAATCTGACAAATGTAACTCTGCTCTCAGGCCCTGAAGTTTGCAAGTGCTTGAGTTATCCAGAGTCCCTCTGATACTTTACAAGGGGCCCGTAAATACCACACCGCTTTTATCTCCCTCCCCCACCGCACGTGAACTCGGCCTCCACATCAGTCACCTTGTAAAGCCTTGAAACCTTGAAGTGGGACACGCGTCGAGCCCGTCACGAACTGCAGCAGCCTGGCCCTCCTCTCCTCATCAAAGGTTTCCACCGCCTGCCAGAACCACTTCACGATGTTGCTGTCGGCCATGCAGTGCTTTAGGCGGGTGTTGGACTTCCAGTCGTTCAGGTCTATCTTATCCAGCCCTCCTATGATGAGCTGTTGAAAAGATTAGAAAGTGCTTTCACCTTGGGAGTCGCTGCAGTTATAAAAACACACATCCAACCACCTCATGTGAGGCCTGGAATTGTTCAGGTGCTTCAAGCGGCTTTTTGGTGTGAGGTAACACTCCAAGCCAGTACAGGTCAGGCAGTAAATCTTTCGGTTTAACTGCAATGAATTGGCAGCACCAGAACTTTTCACAAGGAACCAGAGTCAGAGGGCCCTGCAAGAGCTGCTTTATTAAATCTGTGCTACCTGAAAGGCACAGCCTCTCTTTATGAGGGTAGAGCATGAATCTGGAAGAAGACAAGCCATCTGCTGCCTGACACAGCATCATTGTCCTGATGAAGGATCGTCCTAGAAGTGCCAACAACAGCTATGACAGAATCCTGCTCCGTTTATGGGAACATCTGAGCTGCTTTGTTGTTCCACAACAAACTACAGAAACTTCTCATCTGTTTTCTGACGCCGTCTGTGAGAGGCTCTGACACAGACCAGACAAACCACTTCCAATCTCTTTTCCTGAAAATACCAGGCTGCAAAAAAAACCCCCTAAAATCTAACCACCTCCCCAGCAATCAAAATAAAAGCACAGAGAAAACTTCATCCCTCCAAACAAAACGTGTCATATTCTAAATTTCCCATATTATTCCATACTGAGGATCACATTCCTGAGAGCTGCCATTTGGCAGCTGCCTTCTTGTGCCACCAAAGCAGCACTCACTTACACCTGTGCACATTATTAGGACAGTTGTGACTGCTCTGACGTGGACAGTGTTGAAATATTTAATGGATTTCTAATCTGCCTTTTCAAGCAAATGGAATGCAGTAACTTTGTGGGATTAATCAAAATGAATGACTGGCTAGCACAAAGCTCCAATACCACAAATGCTTGCTACTCCACAGGTTGCCTTTTTTTTTTTTAAAAAAGGCAAACCCAAAGAAAACTTGCTGTAACAGGTATTACTTTAAGAGCCTTCTGCACCTCAGGATTTAATAATAAGACAGATTATTTATTATTTTGTTTCGTGTATGCTCTACCCTTCTGTTTTTAGTCCCTGTAAACCCTGTCCTGTGTGCATACAGAAACAGCCATGCATGAAAAGTTACTGGACAAAGCAAGTTCTGGGGCAGGTAACATGTCAGGTCTTGCCAGCAATTCCTCAAACTTGAAGCGCTCCCTCCCTGCTCAGACCACCTGCCTCGAGCATTAGTCCTTGCACAGACTCCATGGTGTATTTGTCTTTCCCTGTTTAAGTAGCCCTCTCAATAATATTAATCCAAAGAATGTCTAAAATAAACCACAAAGGGGTTGGTTAAACAAATACCCTGCTTTCTGGTATGTAAATTGGAATAAGTTTTGTGGGTTTTCTTGTCCTTGGTTGCTTTGGCTTTTTTTAATCAGGGCTTGGTTGCGGATCAAACAAATTACAAAACAATGCTCCGTGTGGATAAAACATACCTCGAGTTCCTTCTGGTCGAAAGGCTTAAGGAGATGTTGAGGAATAAGTTCATTAAAACCTTTCTGCAGAGCCAGGAACTGTGCCTCTATTCCTCTCATAAACCGCCAGTTCACATACAACCTGTGAGGGGGAGGAAGAAACAGTCAGGGATGATGAGCTGGATGGGACTGGGATATTTGTAGCAGAGCTGGGAAACGCTCATTTTACAGAGGAACTTGTTTTAATACACACAGTCTGTGTTATGAAAGAAGTGCTTATCAGTTCCTTGCACCATCGACAGAAAAACCAGTGTACACTTCACAGCTTCGTCCTCCCAGCTCTTACAGTAGCGCATTGTGTGAAAACATTTGTGTCATTTATGACCCAGGTATTTCCACCCAAAACACTTGTTTCACTGGTCTCACTATATACAAAAAAAATTTAATCTGTTTACTGCCTCCTTTCCACTGCACTGGCAGGACATCCTTCTGTTCTGCAATACCTGACATATTCTTTCTTGTTCTCTTCTGTCACCGGAATATTCCTGCCATTTGGTTTGAGCTCGTGCTGTAAAATCCTCCCGAAAGCGTTGTGTTCCACACAGAACGTATGGTCCAGGACAGGGGTGATGTCATTCTCCCTGGCAACGGACAGACAGAGGGAAAACTTACTATTTCTGATATTTTGGTAACTCTCAGGGGTGATGCTGACGGTTATTTGAACACTTAGGCGATCTTCAAGCTAAACCTACCAACTACCCACCCGCATTTCACCCACTAGAGGAATATTGCCACAATCACCTATTTCTGTATAGTTTAGAGCGTTCTGAAGAGCCTGATCAGACATGGGACATCCATCTAACTCTAGGAAATCTCAGGATAATGAACAAAAACAGATATACCCCCCCCCCTCCCCATATACATACACCCAGCAGGATCTGCTCTGCTGTCACACAGCGTGGAGCACGGAAGAGATCACGTGCCGTGAACTCAACACCATCAGTAACTTTAAACAGAAGATTCAAACAGCATTTAGGAAAAGAAACTGAGGGAATGCAAAGCAGTGCTGAAGAGCCCCAAAGCTACACTGAATGTTGGATTTTGTTCTGAGCTGTAAGCATACAGAAGCCTGAATTACTTCAATTTCTTTTAATTTCAATCAAAGTTGGTTTTCTTCCGAAGGCGGTGGTGCTTCCCCTCAGACCTCTGTCCCAAGTCTGGATTTTGCTATTGTGATATTCTACCACACCCATGCAATATTTAATGATTAATGAAGTATTTACTTCACTGCAAGGAGAGCGAACAGTTTTCAATGAGAGCTTTTCCTCAAGTACCCTGAGCTCTCTGACACAGAAGCAGCAGTTTAATGATTTTGCACAGATCTCCACCATTACAGTTTTTTGAAAATACTTTCTGTGAAGTGTTACCTCACTACTGCCAACAAACTCTACCCCATTTTCTCCACAGTGAGACTGCTGACAAAGGCAGTACTTACAAGATCCAGACTAAGCTTTTGTGTAATTCTGGGTCGACAGACTCCAGGTCGGAGAGCTGGATGGGCTTCCCCAGGAGCTGCTTGTAAAAGGGCACGGTGAACCCCCCGTTGATGTAGTGTCCATGGAACACAGCCAGACCCATTATCCGCCCCACAAAGTGGAAATAAGACAAATGGTCCTGCAGGGAGAGAGGAGAGATTGGAGAGAGAGAGAGAGAAGAATGAGAGTCAGGCTTTGGGAAGACACTGACATCTTGTGGCTCCACCTGTGCCCTCGGTGGAACGTTCAGCATATCCTGTAACCCTCCAGGCAAGAGGAGACAATGTTTTCCCTCATGACACAACCAAAACCAAAGCCTTTAATTATTAAATACCTCAAACAAGTCTCTGTGCATTAGTTCATTAATAAATTGGATTCAAGTCCTCCAGACCTCTCAAAGGGCAAAACTCAGATAAAGCAAATCCCTGTAAAACCCCCAGAATGCAAGGGGATATGACAATTCCAAACAAATTACTTAATTTTTTGTTTAACCAACGTGCCCTTGAAGAAGCAGGCCATGTGCTTGTTTCCTTCATTCCTTGCATCTTCCTTTTAAACTGACTTTTGAAAACTGAGGTGTAAGTCCTACGGTTGACATTCTTCCAATCTCACCTTCCAGTGCAAATGTCAGCAAATGTCATGTCAGGAAGAATTCCCTGTACTAATACAGAACTGCTGCTCCTTTTAGGGTCTGCATCAATATAAATCCTCCAGTAAGAAAAAAAGCAAGCACAGGAGTGAAGTGAGAAAGGGCAAGCAAGGGATACATCCCTAAAAGTCACGGGGTGGGCACTGCTGGGAATGCAATGCTGCGTGCACAACCAGCTGCTCAGGGTGAAGATGAATTTCATCTGTGTCTTGTCCTCTCAGAATCACTGTGCATCCCAATCAGCACTGGGGAGTCTCAAAGAAATCAGGTACTTATCAAAAGGACACCTCCTCTATCGTGTTTTTAATCTCTGAACAAAGCCCCCCTGCTCCATACCATCTCAATATAAAACATGAACACCACCTTATTCTGCTTCACCCTCCAGTTTAGACTCTTCTCGTGGAAGAACAGCTACAAAACACTGCAGGGGACATCTGTTAAAGCAGGAATGTCACTCAGAAATTACTACTTACAGGATTGATAGAAGAGTCTGGATTGATTTGCAGCATGTAAATATTATCTGTGGAGTACTGGAAGAGTCCATAATAGGGATTCAACATTTCATGGCACAGTAAATACAACCACTCTCTGCCCCAAAAAAAAAAAAAAAAAATTAGAAGGGTGCAACTTAAGTTTCAGATAACACAATTATTGTGAATTATCAGTTGTGAAAAAGGCTTATTTCAAAATCCCATCATTTTGTGCTGCCCCCCATTTGCAGACCAAAAAAAGGTATGATTAAAACGCCACAGTGTCCTGTTCCATTCACAGGCAGACTTGGTTTAGTTTAGAAGCACTGAAGGGATTATGACCAATTAGAGAAGGTACAGCAAGCTGTCAGACAATGCCATCAACTAATTGAGTCCGAACAACATAGGCTTCCAAAAAAATCCTGACTGTGTACAGAGTTCAGCTATTCGCAGCCTGCAAGATCTGCTCCTCTGCAACCTCTACAGGATAAAGAAGTATTCCAAAAATCTGCTGTTCAGAATCAGTTCAGTCACTGGTGATCTTTAGAAAAGCTGTTTTTCCCTCCAGCTTGGTGACCAGAGAATCTCTGCTGAAGGGACAGAGACCAAACGCAGTAAGAGGAGGGGTTGGGTAAATTCTCTCAGTAACACACAAGGACCTAGAATGGAACTAAAGCCATTTCTGACCTCCCAGCTCACCCTGACAAACACCCCTTTGTTGTTAAATTTGGGCACTCAGCCCAGGTCCAAAATATTCTGAGAGACATATCAATTTTAATGCTTGGAAGTGGAGCTGTACTGATCTGAAAGAGTCAGTTGCAACTAATGGGCAATTACGAAAGACATCGGGGCAACAGGATGTCAGCACTGGAGACGCCTCAGGTGAGGCAGCTCAGAATGTTCCAGCTTCTTCCCTTTGTCCAGGGATTGATTACTGAAAGACACCTAAGTGGGAAATGCAGCCTTTGTGGATTTGAGACATTTCTCAGTGAATTTACACAAAGCACCTGAGCCACCACAAAGGTGAGCGTTTCACTGATGCTACAATCAGTTCCAGAACCTCAGATCTGAGGCAACCCACAGGGGATTATTGTTATTTTTAAGAGGGAGGCAAGTCCTCGCTAAAATTTCAGCCTTTGTTTGGGATGAGTTCATCTCCACTGCTGCTCCAATGGATCAGAGGGCTCTCCTGAATGTTCCCTGGAAATCAGAAAGGTGTGTTTAACAAAACTGTTCCTGTGACCCGGATCTGACTTCAGAGTCTGGACACCTCCTGAGAGACCTCACAGCCTGAGCTGATCACACTTTCCAGTTCCACAACTTTCAGTGGGACAAATATTAAATCAAAAACTTGCACTTTTCCAATCTACCAATTGATACAAAGAACAAAGCTACAACCTCTGCCTGTAAAATACACCATAAATAACTTACACACACCATTAACAGAGAACTCTAGAGGGAATGGCATCAGCCACAGGGAACTTAAAGGACAATTTTACAGTTAATAAGTGTCAGACAAACCTCCCAATTCTCACCTTGCTACTCCCCCATAGTCCAGGCCTTCCTCTCCTCGGAATTTCACCATGAGCCTCTTTTTCAAGTCCTTTGGCCTCATCTTCATTATCTGACGGTAGGATTCCTGGGGGGGTATTTGTACAATTAGATATTCTATTTCCTCGCTGTAATTAAGTCTATTACGATTTCTGTAACCCTGCAATTAAAATTTCTGCATTTCTGTAACACACAGACTGTTACTCAACAACAGAAGACACGATTGTGTGCGAGTGCCAACCCGAAGCAAATTCCAATGACAACTCTTTGTACCACGTGGGGAGTGGGATTCACTCCCTCTCTCTCACGAGCAAACTCTGCTATAACCAACAATCAGCTTTACTTAATTCTGGAGTGTCAAAACCTGCTGCTGGTAGTGAAACAAACGAAATACCTCAAATATTTCCTCTCTGGATACTTCAATCCGACAGTGCCCAGCCTGAGGTTGCTGAAGGGAGAGCTCATGTCTAAGGACTTTCAGCTTTTGTACCAAGTCTCTCTCGTATCTCTGTGCAGGCAACTCCTCCCCCTCTTCCAGGGATCCCTCATTTGGAGCTGGCAAAGGCTGCTGGCTGGGCTCTTTCAGCTGGCATTGATGGCTTTGAAAGAAAAGGAAAGTGTTTATTCAGGAAGCATGACAATAAGGGATATGTAAAAAAACGATGGGAGAACTGATTAGGCTTCTCTAAGAGGAACCTGGAGGTGTGTATTCAGGTGAATTTTTTAATTTTCTGATTTTTTTGATTTTTTTTTTTTTAATTAAGTAACTTGTGTAGCATCATTACCCAACATTCAGGGATGTAAGGAACACAGGTGTTTAAAATGAAGAGTTTCAGCATTTCTGAGCTCCATTTTTATATGGCAAATACACACTGTGGAAGGCTGTGGAGCATGATCACTGAATGCTGACTAAATCTGTGTGGCATTCTCCCATATGGAGACAACTTTCAAGGGTGTAACACGAAAAGAGATCTCTAATGGAACAAACAACAGCTTTATAAATGGAACTGTCTAACAACTGCAGCTAATTTTATTCCAGCTCCGTGCAAAATGAGGCTGGGGATTCCAACACAGTAAAAATACTGCATCTATGGGTGTCAAAAGAGAAAGCTGTGCTCGTCCCAAATAGCTGCAGCTTCGTACATTCAACTATCCTCACCCAGCAGTGCTCTATTTGGGTTGTGAAGCGATTATTTTTCGGATACAGAGATTCTCCAGCTGGCTTCAAGCACGGGCAACTCAGATCTCAGGCCAAGTCTGATCTTGGGCACAAGCAGCACTGCCAGGCTGCCTGCAGGGTCAGTTCCACAACAGTTCAGCTGCCTTTGCACGATGCAGAGCTTGATCTTCCTAAATCCTGTTAAACCCCAGCTGGCTGTGCATAGCACCAGTTGACCACACTCCAGCTGGCTTTATATTCCTGCTGTCTGGAGCTCCAGGGAACAAGAGCCAGGCCACGTCCAGCTAGAACTGCTCATCCAGACAGGCAGTGATGGGGAAGCCCTGACAGATCCTCGACCCCACAGCCCAGCAATTCCAGGACCGTGCATTTGCTCCAGCACTGCTTGGGGAAATTTTGTCAAACCAGCTTGAAGAGGTTAGCGTTGAGCCAAAATAAGCAAGGCCTCCCTTAAACCTGAGGACTGTACTCTGAGCAGAGGAAAAACCTTCCTGAAGAGCCTCTGCAAAAAAAACTGAGGACCAATGGTCAGACCCTGAGTATAGACTGGTTGCATCTGCTCACCAGCATCATTATCATTCAGGTTTTCAGCCCCACATGACTCTCAAACTGTAGCTAAAACTGGACAAAAATTCAAGGTTTAAGAATCCAAACTTGACATGAGTTATTTATCAGGCAAGACCCTTACTTCATGATGTGATGTAGTCGTGGATCTGTGAATTGTGTGGTTCTGTTGTTGTGATCTACAAAATATATTCTTCCTGAAACTGTACTTCTGACTTCCCAGCCTGGGGGCAGAGGTCCCAGTTCATCACAATTCACACTGTTAAGGTCTCTACAGAGAAAAAGAAACAACATGTTAATGCACATCTGAAGTTAAGATGAAACCACTTTACACAGAGGGGGCAGGACGAGTGAACTGGGTGCTCGGGGACTGAGGCCATGGAAGTCTTGGGAAGGACAGAACACATTTAGGTGCTGACAGGGATTCTGAGGGCTGTAAAAGGAGGCTGTAAAAAGACTTTTTTTTTTTTTTTTCCATAGCAAAAATTTCACAGAAAAATTCCCATTAACACTAATGAGATCCGTGTGCAGAAAACCATTAACAATTAAACCAAGGCCTCTGTGCCAACCAAAGTCTCCAAACACCCCTCAGAGGATAAGGCAGCCAAATACTAAGGTCACTCAAGAAAATAAAAATCCCCTGTTAAATTAGACATAAGAACTCTAAATCCTAACTACTGGACTGATAAATCATTTAGAGTAAGGCTTTATCAACACATTCATCCTTTTCACCCTAAATAGATTTCAGGTATCACTTCCAGGTAGTGTTTGAACTCAGTTATGTAGGATGTATTTACACCTAAGAAATTGAAAATTGAGGCTCCAGCCCCCTAAGAGAGGAAAACACTAATGGTGGCAAGAAAAGGGAGGAAGGACACCCGAGGATTATTTTTAGGCACAAACACTATTGTTAAGCAAAGCATTCTCCAGACAGCTGGCACGGATTCAGGGCTGAAGGCACCACTTAATGCATTTCCTTACCTAAATCTAAGCATGCAACTTGTGTATAAATGAGTCAACTGAGAGGCTTTAGAAAGGCAGGAATGCTCTGCACACAGGAGGTTCCTCGGTGTCACAGGGAGTGTAAGCCAAGGGGACACACAGGCAGACAGACAAGGCCTTGTTGGGCTCCTTAAAGAAGATTATGGTTGGAAGCATTTGCTGGGAGCAGCTGTGCCTCTGAAAGTGCTGCAGAGATCTGACTGCAGCAAGTTTTAACCCAGGTCTCTGCTGGAGGCCAAGGCTGGGTTTTTGCACCACAAAAGCTGTAGAAGGAGTCACCTTTAACTAGAATAAGTGTGAGCTGTGACTCACAACACACTGCTGTGTCCACTTATGTGGCTGGTCCTGGAACCCTGGCTCTGGGATTGGGGCAGAGAAGCAACAGAACCTTTTATTAGGCTGATCAGCATCACTTGAGGAAGAGAGAAGGCTTTGGGCACACAAGTGACACAAACGAACAAGCACTGTCATTTCTTCTTCCAACAATACCAGCTAATCTAACATCAGCTATTTTCTGCCTCTCTCTCAGCTTTATTTTTCATTTCCTTCCATACACTGTGCTTTTATCAACACTTCTGCCTACACACTACTTTATATCATTTCTCTAATATCCTGTATCACACTCCTGTATTATCCAGGCAGTGCAGCAGCTGAGAGTTACAAACTTCACATTTCACTCTTGAATCTGGGGTGCAGGTGGTCCCTGAAACACCCCAGATCCAGAGCTCCTTGAGGAAGAGCACCAGACCTTGCTTACAAAGACCTGGATTAACTGCAGGTTAAGGTTTAAAGAGGCTTTGCTAAATTAATCATGTGAAGGATTCAATTTTCTAGCTGCAAATCACTGGCCTAAAGCATAAAAAAACCTCAACTCCATTTCAAGTTTAAATATAACAATCTCTGCTTCAGTTACACATAAGTGAGCAATAATAAAGCTAAAGTTGCAAGTTCAATACTCAAGAAACAATTATTTTAAGAAAGTAGTCAGCTTTTTCTTCATTTTGCAGTCAAAAGATTCAGAGATTTGTAGCTTCACCAAAAACCACAGTCACATCGACATTTTAGGAAGAATTTTTCAAACAGGAATTCCTGAAGGGCTACATATTCTCCCCCTTTTGTTTTGCATAATTCATAAGTAAATTATTCTTTCTTTCAAAAAGAGTAATCCTTAATGTTTGGTGAAAACGTAATTAGAAAGATCCAAAATTATTCTTCTGCTGGGAGCTCCCCCTTTAAAGTCAGACAGGCCATTTCATAGATCTTTGCTCTTAAAGATCCAGCATCCTGTCACACTCCCCTCCCAAAAACCCCCTGACTTTTTAACTATAAATACATACCTTGGTATCCTTGGGTCATGCCATGTGCTAACTCCAGTCTGTGTGTGCAAAAAATAAACCTGTCCCTGTACCGTTGTTCTTTGCTCTATTAAAAAGAAGAAAGATTATTCTAAATAACAAATGAATAAACAGTTTAAAGCCATGAAAATATTTTGTTTGTCAGATCTAGGAGAAAGCACTGGAGCTATCCCCCTGACCTCTGGCAGAATGGATTGGTTTGTCCTTCTAAAATTTGCTCTGGCTACACATTTCAGCATTCTCTTGAAACTCACAGATCCGTGCACCAACATGTTTCAGTCAGTATTTTTATTTTTAGCTTTTGAGACAACCCAAAGCCTCAAACTAGATTTCTTTACTCCTAGATTTGCTGGGCTCTTTTCCGAGATTTAGATTCTCCTTAATCCCATCCTCCCTAATCTCCTCCACTACTGGCTGCTTTGTTGCTTTTATATATTTTTCCTGATCTCTCCTCAAACGTGGGCTCTAAACCCACACAACACGCCGAGGGGGATGGAAAAAAAAATAGCGCGTTCCCACTCTAGTTTGAAGAGCTCTTTACATTCCTTCTCCCCGGATACACAGCCACGATTAGCAGTGAATCCACACCACAACCTCACGTTTAATTCACCACCAACTCCTCGGTGTAGCCAGACCATCAGCCAGCCCCAGACTCCCAATCTGCTCCGCTCAGCCCCTTCTCCAAAGCGCAGCCCAGCTGTGGGGACGCTCCTACCGTAGCCCTCGGGCAGCTCTGGCGATTGGTGCCCGTGGGGCCGGTTCTGAGGTGTCTGGGCGTGGGCTCGGAGGTCGGGGGTGCGGAGCCGCTGCGCCTGCAGCCGCTGCTCCTGGCTGGGGGACTCCCCGAAGCGGCAGCCGCCTCCTCCGGCCGCTCCCGTCGTGTCCGTGTAGGGCGCCGGCTCCTCCAGGAAACAGCTCAGCGGCCTGCCCGGCCCGGAGTCTTCATAGACCGTTCTGAAAATGGGGAAACTTCGAGAGTTTCCATCACCAGAGAAGTGAATGCAGAAATAGCTGTTCCCTCCCTCCTTGTTACTTCAAGCACTGTGGCTTTCAGCCCAATTTATGCCCCTTTCCTAATGTTTTAATAACCAAATTTCTCAGGGAAGTGCCACAAGCGCTGGTAACAAAACATCACAAGTCCTACCCAGTTAAGCTTATTTTCTTCAAGTAATTATCCAGCTATAACCTTAGAATCATAGAATCACAGAATTAACTGGGTTGGAAGAGACCTCCAAGATCACCAAGTCCAACCCCACTGTGATTACTAGATCATTACTTTCTGCATAGTTGATAGCAGATAATGGATTCATATTCCCAGGCACACTGATATTTAATATTTCTAATGTTAATTATAGTCTCTCCACACATAAACCGTTTTATTAATTAAGTGTAAAGCAAACAATCCTTACCCTTCATTCTCCAAAAGCCCTCTGCAGTCTACTACAGAACCTCCTGTGCCTATTCTGTCCCGTGTCTGTAAACTGACTGAAATTAAAAAAAAAAAAAAAACACAAACTCAGGTTAATAAAAAAACAACTGCATCTTAAAAACAACAAAAAAGCTACACAATCCACATTTATACAGGGGAAAATATTAAGGAAAGCTCCCTCCTACACAGGAGAGCACATCACTTACCGGAACTCCTTCTCTAATCTTAAAGCATTACTGATTTTTTTAAAAAGGAGAAGAGAAACCAGAAGCTCATCCCCTCAAAACTTGAGTATATTTCTATAAATATCAAACATGTCAAGTTCTACATCTGGGTTTCACGAGGATCCAGAAAGGGAAGCTGGAAAAAAACTGTTCACCACTAGATGTCATCATTAGGGTGAGAATTTGGGGTTTGCCAAATACATTTATGTATCACTGAAAAGCTTGGCTTGGGTGGGGGCAGAAAACGTGTGGGGGGAAATAGCTGTAAAATTAACACTGCCTTGCTGAAATCTGGAAATGGGTTACATGAGTCAAAAGTATTACACTAGAAATGTATAAAATTTCTCTTAGCTCCTCCAGCTTATGCAATTTAATCCCGTTAAAAATCACCAGAAGCAACACAAGGAAAAGGCACCGAAGCAACGACAGAGGTTTGCTTTTTTAACACAACCTTGGGGGATTTCCCAAGCAGGTGGAATGTGAGACCATCCTTACCCACTATTTGGCCTCGGACAGCATCGGTGTCCGTGGGGTTGAGTTTGCATAGATCCAAACGCTGGTCTGCAAAGGAGAACGGGAGAGATCAGCCCTGGCAAGGGGTGGGTGGGGACATCATTTACTACTCAGGGACAGGGCATGGAGGGTTCTTGATCACCCCAGGTAGGAATTGCTCTTACATCCAGTATCTTTTAGCCTGCTGATGGCATTGGAGAGGAGTCGGACACACCCCAGGAAGCCAGCTCCCTGTTTCTTATGGATTTTTTTATGGTTCCATACACTGATGGTTATGGAATCTGTTTTCCCGACGTATCTAGGAAAAACACATATTAAAAGAGTAATTTTAGAAATAACAAGCTCTTTTTACTCCACAGAATTGATGCTGTAATTGGTACAAATTCTGACACATTTTGGTACATCAGTCATGGCTCTTTATTATAAATACACAAGTGCTTACGCCCCAAATGCTGTTATTAATGAATTACTGCACAACGATTTCACACAGCATGGGAAATTGATATTGCTGCAGCATGAATTTAACTACAGCCAGCCTCATTAAAAACTAAACAACAAGTCAATTAAGAGACAAAACTTTGGAATTTATGGTTCTAATAATTTGAAGGAAATAAATCATTACAACAAGGGCAGTCTCTTGTAAAAGCTGGATGGCACTGCTCCAGCAGAGCTCACTCTAAGCACTTGTGCTGTACCTGACACACAAATATTTCTGAATTCAAACACCAAAAAGCAAAGCACCAATCCTTTACTAAGAGGTGATTTCTTGCTGAAACAAATCAGTACCCTGAGAGGGCAGGGTTAGATGGGACATTAAGAAGAAATTCTCCCCTGTGAGGGTGGAAGGCCCTGGCACAGGTTGCCCAGAGAAGCTGTGGCTGCCCCATCCCTGTAAGTGTCCAAGGCCAGGTTGGACGGGGCTTGGAGCAATTTGGGATAGCAGAAGGTGTCCCTGCCCATGGCAGGGGATGGAATGGGATGAGCTTTAAGGTCCCTTCCAACCCAAACCACTCTGGGATTCTATGACACGTGAACAACTCTTGCTAACACGAAATCAATCTGCAGTGCCAACCCTTGCACTCCAGAGAAATCTCTGGAATATTATTTACTTATGACCTTACAACCAACTCACAGATCGTAATGCTGGTTCCATTTGGGGTCCAACGTGTTCTTCACAGTGTCAGTGGAATGGCACTGACCTGACCCATCCACAACTATTTTTGCAAATGGGTCAGGAAGTCCTGTGGAAGGGAAAAGGTGCCATTAAACACAGCCCTTTGTTTTGGTTCTTCCCAGACAATGCCAGCCAGAACTTCTGCTCCCCCCTCCAAGAAAGGGAAGTTGCCATTACCCTAAAACTGTTTTAGTTAACCCTGTCTTTGGGATGGATGCTCTTGGTACCCTCCAGCGCAGAGCTGTGAGCAGCAGACTGACCCCAGGTGGCATCATCAGAATTTGGGAGCCCTCAGCCTTTTCACCCCTAAATTCTACACAACCTACAACTCAGAGTAAGATGTACTCAGGTAGTAAGGCAGTGCTCCTGCAAGAAGGCAACCAAATGACACACCACAGCCATGCACCATCTACAAACAAATCTGATTAAGCCAGAGCAGAAAGTTACACAATCAGGACATACTTACTGAAGAAATCTTTCTTTGCAAGATTCTTGGCACATAATACTGCAAAACAAAACAGCAGATAAAGAAATGTTAAGGCCGTAAAACAAAGCTTCCTGGTAATCACATCAGCTCAAATAATACCTGATCATAATTCAGAAAACCCACCTAAATATTAAATGTGAGCATTGTTTTCTTTATCTCTGATTGGAACGTGGATTTACATAAAAATTCCTTTGCTGCTGCAGTTCTATTGTTACAACACACAGAAGATTTAATGAAAGTCCCTTTGCATTAAAACCTCCTGATTTTCTATACTTCATGCTTACACAAATGCTAAACCAGATTTTTGTTGTTGTTTCACAATCCACCCAGTTCAGAACAAGGATTATACGGTTTCTGAACTAAGGAAATTGAATTCCCCTGTCCTGGGATTGCTGGAGGAGACCTCTCTCTGCTAAGTGCCATCAAAGGCAGTGCAGCCTCCTGCTCCCACAGACACACGGCGAAACAAGACATGGGAGGGATCCTGCAACAGCAAAAGCAATCTGTAAACACAGCAAGGTCTGGGGGTCAGTATGACAGGAACTCACTCAGGAGAAAAACAAACATCCTGGTAAAAAAAAAGAAAAAAAAAAATCTGCACCAAGAAGTTTTCCTGCCAAAGAGCCACAAATGAGACACTGATTCCCTCTCTGCAGTTCTACTCACCAGCACAGCGGTTTAAGGAAGAATTAGATCAGGAAACTCACATCAATCTCCATTTCTACCAGGTCTATCACCAGCTACAAGGCTAATTTTGCTTTTCCAGAAGGGCTGCTCAGTACGATCTCAGCAATCCGAGCTGTTTGGCATCCATTAAAAACAACTCCAGAGCCAAAGAGGAAAATATTAGAGCCTGAACTTATCTCAAACTGGGATCCAAGGGAGGAAGGTAACCATAAAAACCCTAATTACTCTTTCCTCCAGTGGGGAAAAGAGATCTTTCAGGGTGAGAATGAAGGCTCAGAAGATACTCAATTCCTCCTGTATAGGCCATTCCTCCCTCTCATCTGCATCTTCCCTTGTTCCTGATTTACCCTCAGCCTCGCTGTAATTCTACACCGTGGAGAGGGAAGGTGCAAAGGAACAAATACTTTATTTATTTATTTATTTATTTATTTATAGACTTCTATTAGAATTCCACCTCTCAGCACTCCCTACCCAACACAGCCAGCAGAATAAAAACTGCCCTCACCTCACATGTCAAGTAAACAGACCCAAGAAATCCACTGTTTAACCCAGAAGCTCATGGGAAAAAAAAAATACACAAATCCTCCGTCTTAGCAATAATTAAAGCAGCCACACAGGAAACTATTTTTAGAATGGATTAAAAATTACTTATTTCTTACACTGGCAAACTGTATAATCAGAGAAAGCTTCTCCTGTGGGTTTGTTTTTTTTTTTTTTTTTTTTGGTGTGTTTAAACAACTGACCAAAAAAGAAAAATCTGCAGGACTCTGGCAATTCAACGGGAAACAAACCAGGATTACAGAACCACCATCCGCTGCTCCGTGGAAGCAGGACAGAGCAACCTTTAACTTCCTCTTCCTGTTGTGAGCCCTTCAGAGGGAAAAATACCCCAAAACCAGGGACTAAGTACAGGTAAAATCAGAACTTTTGTGTGCTACCACCAGCCAAAAGGGATTTTAAAGTTCCTGCGAGAGGTTTTTAAAACCCAATAACTCCTTTTAATTCGCCATGCCCGATTTTTAGAATAATTTATTGAGCTGGAGGGGTATGACAACTGTAACTCTGAGCACATGGTCTGTCTATATAATTATTACCTTTATTCTATCTTTCAGGTGTGCTATCTAGAGCTAAACAGCAACATAAATTTCTAAAGCTCTTATTGAAGAATTATGCTTTTCCTTTAACTCTTTTCCCCCTGCCACAGCCTTCCAGTCTGCAGCAGATGAGCTCAGCTGCCAATTTTCCACTCGCAGCCTGCGAAACCCTCAATTTTCGGTTGCAAAAAAATCATTACCCTTTCTTGTAAGAAAAATATTGGCACAGCAGCTAATGGCTGAAATCAACCTTTATGGAGCAATCTCCAGGATCAGGCTGCCTGAGATGGACCACTGGCTCTGTTCCACTATTTGCATATTAAACCCACTCGAGCAAAAAATATTTTCGAGAGCTCTATCACTTAAAAGGCAGAGATTTCTAAATTCCGGTAAAGAAACAGGTGACAGGGGTCAGCAGAGGGAGACTTGGATGTGAAACCATGCCAGCAGTGGAGCAGACAGCCCCTCCCTGCCCTGCAAAGACGGGAATGTGCCAGATTTCCCTCTAAAACTCGTCCTCTCCAAGAGGAGAGACCTGTAGGCTGCTACTCAAAGCCTGAAATCCATGAACTCGGGTAGGTTTAGCTACAAGGGCTTCAAAAGTTTTTAATTTTATCCCTGGCTCAGAGGGGGTTTAGGAGAATGGGATGGATCCTTAACTGGAAACCAGGTGCCCTTTGCCCAGGCCTTGCCCAAACCCCGTCTTTGCCCGTTTCCCAAAGTGCTTTCTCTTTTGCCTTTTCTTTCTTTTAAACAAGGAAAGTTTCGGGCTTGTCAGCAGGAACCCTCTCCCTGCATTTGCTGCAACGTTACAAAAGGCACTAATTCCCCTGACTTGGGCATTTACATCCTGCCTCCTCAAAGTCAACCGACTTGTTTGAGCCTGACACAGGATTTGTTTATGCTCTTCTCTGGATTGCTGCACAGCACTGCACAACTCCTCCTTTCAATGCAGCAGATCCCAAACACCACCGAAACAATGTCTGTACATCTAGATTAGAATATTTATAAAGGGATGGGAATGTTTTCTTAAGCACCTGACATTACTGAGATAATTTCAAAGGCCAAATTAGCCAGCTGGGTGAAGTATTAGTGTGAAAGCGTATTTGGCAGGAGGTGAAGGAAGGACGAGCCTTAGACAGAGTCAGTATCCACCCTGGGGATGTAACTTGAGTGAGTTGAGAGGTTCCTCTGCCAGCCCCTGGTTGTCCACCCTGCTTCCAAACAGAAGTGAATCATCTGCTGTGGTTCAGGAGGTGCCGCAGGAGCAGGACGGGTGCAGCGAGGAGAGCCCAGAGTGGCACCACGGTCTGAACAAGCCAGCTGAGAATTGCATCAGAAAGCTGCTGCTTCACCATCCCTGCAGCAGGAGCAGCATTTCAGGAAAGAGGCACGGTCTGGGTGAGGACAGACCCAGCCTAGAAAATCAAAGCCTGGTGTGCAAGTTCTCCTCCTGAGCTGTCGGCGCTCAAGGGATGGATGTTGGTCTGTGAGAGAGTCCTCACATCACCGACTCTGCATCAGCACTGCATTTATTCACACACAACACGGAACTCCTCAGTTTGGAAGGGACCATAAGCATCACCAAGTCCAGCTTTCACCCCAGAGCACTCTGCTAAGATGCTACAACCGTTTCCAGCTGCCCAGCGTACAAACGAGGCAGTTGTGCTTTGACACCTGGGAGGGGGGGGGAAAGTAAAATAAATAAGGTAAGAGATGAAAATATTCTGTAGGTCCCAGCCCGTACCAATGCAAAACAGCAGGCAAATCTGCACCTGGGCCTGCATTCATGCCCACTTTGCAAGTTAAAGGGACAAGCCTCCTTAGTCAAATGAAGGACCTTTACATGTGGATATGATCTGAGCTACCCCAGCCTTCAATTTAGTGCCCAGGTTAATTGTGGAGACAAGACAAACCAGCAGTACGTCCACATCTCCCTCAGGAAAGGGGTGGGGGGGAAGGTTATAGTGAAAGATCCCGGCAAATGCACCTTTCAGCCATCTCTGGCCTTCCCCTGGATATTCCAGGTTAATAATTTATGCTTGCACAAACAGGCAGCCAGATTCCAGGATACAATGGTTTTACTTTCTGACAGAAGATAAACACAGGCTGATGACACAGAGAGGACTTCACTTAGTATTTCCTTCTGTGTAGACCATCTTCAATCACTGAGATATGCAGCATAATCATTACGAGCATCACAGGTTGGTGGGTTAAGATAGAACAACAACAATGAGGCTTTGGAAGAGAAAGCAATAAAAGATCTTGACATAAAATGAAACTAAAGTTACTGCATACTCCTGAAAAATGAAAAAGGCCACAAAGCAGGTCAAATTTGATGCATCCAAGTGATGGAAACATCTCAGAGTCTGCCCAGTTTTTGACTTGTGAAGTTGAGTTAGAATAGAGTTGCTTCAGCTCCACTGTCCAACAGCAGGACACCAGCTCACAGCAAAGATCCCACCATCCTGAAAAACAGTTTTTGGAAGGTTGCATGGCAAAAATAATGTGCCTAAAGTGGGGAAAAAAGCCTCCAAAAAAAAGAAGAAAAAAAGCAAACATCAGCTATTCACCACAAGCTGCTCTAATGCCCCAAAGCTCGTGGGCCAACAATTAAAATCTGAATCTGTTCTGTGAAATCACGTCTGATCCAAGCAATTCCGTGTATTTTGTGGAAAATACTCTGAATACCACGAGCCACCCCTTCTGAACCGCCTTTAGGAGCGGCTCTGCTTATCCTCCAGTTCCTGCACACAACCTCAGACGAGACCTCTCTGCAGATGAACGGCTGGGTTTAGTTCTACTGCCAGGCAACCCTGGCACCAGAAACACGGAGGTTTTACGTGTCTGCTCTTCCTGAGGGTGACAAGCATTTATGTGTGGCAGGGCACAAAAAAGTGGGGGTTTATGGGAGAGATGGCTGAAGGCAGCAAGTGTGTAAAAAATGCAGCTTCTTTACAGCTCCCACCTCCCTGAACTGAAACGCACCACTTTATTCACAAACTGCAGTTTAAAATTGTCACCGCAAAGGCCAAGCTTTCTATTCTAGTCCCTTCTTTTTTGTTTGCTTTAGGAATACTTTTGGTCTTTCCCTTTGCCTGCTGGAGACTGAAATGCAGGAATCCACGGACGGCTTTAACTTCTCGGTGACCGAACCCGACCCGCTGCAGCGCCTGCGAGCACAGAGATAAACAAACCCACAGCCAAAGAAACCAATTAGCTGGATGGAGCTAATTTCATCCCGCCATGTACCCTGAGTGGCCTTCACTAATGATCTCAGCATCACGGTGCCAACGAGATTTGCAACCTGAGACGTGAGCCCAGCAGAAAAAACCGCCGAGACCCCTCTGACGTCAGGCCCCGCATTCGTGCCCTGACATTGGAAGGCTAGCCCTGAACTCGTGTTAAACCAGCCCTTGACTACCAGATTAAAGCAGCGCTTCATTACAAACCCCTCAGTTCTCAAAGAGTTGCTGGAGTTGATACATGAAGCCTTTTTGTGGCCCTTTTGTGTAGGCTGCAGTAAAAATCAAAGCCTCTTTTCAAGGCACGGTCTCCTCGTGGGTTGGAACTTGGCTTTGTGCAGCCACTTGCAAACACCAGACAACTTTGAAGAGATCTTCAAAAAACCACACACCCAGAAAAAGCCATTTTTATTAGTCCATTAACATGTCATTAAAGTATCTGCTTAGCCAGGAATCAAAATTCCATCCTACCTAAGCAGAAACTAGTCACGAATGAGAGGCAGCTCTCGCAGTGCAAACAAAACCAAGTTGACAAAACACAAGAGGGTTTCATCTCCAGGATTCCTAGGAATTACTCAAACTGAAAAATTCTCCTGGGCACTGACCAACCATAAGTCTTCATGTCCACGCCACCAAGGGCTGATTTAGCTCTCAGGAACATAAATCACTGAAAAACCCAGCACAGGGCTATTGGAAGAACAACTCATAAAATTGCCAGTTAACTGAGACTGTGCAACACAAGACCGGTACAGCAAGTTTAAGAATGTAAAACTTGGAGAAACACTTTTATAGAGTTATAGAATCAGCTGAAGAACTTTGCAGGGATAAAAGAGGGAGATCAACAGGAAGCTGAATTAATGCTTATGTACAGAATCAGAGAAAGGTGCACAAATCAGAGGTGGAAATAAGCTAATCAATTATCCCTCATAACAAACTCTTCTTTCTCTTCTTCCCCCTCTGCTCACCCATAACAAATGCCTGAGATAAAGGTTACCTCTCAGATTAAATCTTTCATTAAATCCCAGCTATTGCATCCATTTCCTGATGACTTTGCTACACCTTCCTGTAATCCAGGCCAAGAACTTTGTCATCTGCTCCACAGAGTTCCCTGTTTCCTAGATAGGCATAAACTCCAAATATCCCCGAGTGCCTGAGTCTTACAGACCTGCCCATGGGATTTATCTGTGCCATGGACCACAGGGCAAATTCCAGCTGCATCAAGTTTCTATTTCTCACTCAAATCATCCTCCCAAGGGCTTTTTTTTTTTTTTTAAAGTTGATTTTTTAGGGCAAACCTTCCATAAATTGCTGTTTCACCACCTTTAGCTAATTATTGGCCCTACAGTGGCTGCTCAGTCCTCCAGCTCCACAGTACATCTGTCAGAACCACAGCCAAGCGGGATAATGGTGTTGTAAGGAGAGATTTCCATAATTCAGTCAAGTTTTTGCCTTGTCAAAGAGCCCACAAATGGTCTCCCAACTCCCTGAAAACAAAGGATACGCTCAGGCTTCAGCTACAGCATCAGCTTGTGCACACACCCGTGAGATACAGAAACATCTGTAAAGAACTCAAAAATTCTGTTAAAACCACACAGAATAATATCCTGTTCTCAGGGCAAATACAACCTCTTAGCTGAGAACTAAACAAAAACAATTTCAACGACAAAATTCCTACTGGGAATACAAAACGGCCTTTTATATTTACTCTTCCCTGCGCAAGTTGTAGTTCCTGGGATCAGCACAGCTCTGGAATTCTTCCCTTATTCAATCTCTTGCATCTCCCACCACGTGCCCTTGCATTGAATTATTCATACTTCCGAGCAAGTGGTGTCTATCAGGACAGGCTTCTCTGCAAGGCTTGCACATTCCTGTGCTCACACTTCGGATCAGACACCAACGTGCGCTCTGCGGCATCATCACCATCATCACGTTAAAAAACACACCAGGAACGTGGCTCGATTTTCTTAAACTGCATTAAAACTAAGCAATGAGTCCATGCTCAAGTCTCAATACTTTGCTTTTATAGTTACCCAAGTACTGCGAAAGCATCTGGAAAAAAATTCCTAAAGCATGAAAAACACGTTCCTCCACCCACATGCACTCATAGCTCGGATTCCAAACCGACTTTTACTAAGATCGCCAATATTTTGTGCCTTTAACACTTGGGAGTTTTCAAAGCATCTTTTCCACACCCCTCCGAAATGTCAGCACCTAACGGGACCGTGAACTCATCCCAGGGCTGCTCACAACAAGTTCCAGGCAGAGCAGGGGACTGAGCTCAAAACCAGCCCTACTCCCAGAGTCTCAGCAACAAAAAAGTCCTTTCTAGAAATACTGTCCAAATCTTCAGGTGTATGGATCTGTTTCTCTGGAAAACGTGAGATGAACCACAGTGAATCAAGAATCAAATACAGAAAAGAAAACCTGAATGCTCCAGGTATTACCTGGGCAGAAATTAAGGATTAGTTGACACTCCTGTAGTGGACAGAGCGAGCCCCTGTGCTCAGTCAGCATTTCATTTACCGTGCCTCTGATCTCCCCTTTCCCAAGTTAAATGTGTTAAAGCCTTGGCTGCCTTATTTTCATTACCAAAAAAAGAAGCCTGGAAGGACTCTCCCGTGCAGCTGATCATTTGCTTACTAATTCACTGCATAAAAAGCTTCTCCAATAAATATTATGCTCGCTATAAACCACAGAAATTTAGATTCCCCTTCTTTCCCAGATATTCTCTATGGGGGTACCCAGGCCACTACTACAGCTTTGTGTTTTATAACCAGTTTGTGAGACTCAAATTACAAGCACGTTCCTGTACTAACAGCAGCTTCCCCCCCCCAAAACACCATCCAGTTAATGGACTTAGAGCTTTTACAAGCCATTCATTTAATAATTCCGTGAGGGAAACCTGCACAACTGCTCTCTGCTGCTTTATAACGGAGAAAAAGTGCAGAACAAGAGACCCAAAACAGAAGCAACACATTTGCGGGTGCTCAGGCATCAGCAATTAACAGCAAGGCCAAGCACACCAAGGAAAGCAGCTCCAGCCCTGGGGTCCTGTCCATGGAGCAAACCAGTTCTGAAAAGTCAGGAACACCACACACAACTTCTGCACTTTTTAAGCCGCTATTATCTCCTCAAAATAGCTGCTTGTTATGCAGAAAGCGGAAAGGAGACTGATCTGCTGCTGCAAACACGTGAAACGTGTGAAAGCAGAAACTTTGGTGCTGAAAATCTTGGCAAAGTTTGACCAGAGACAGCCAAGCAATAGTTCAATAGAAACATCGAATTTCTGTCGAGCAGCAAAATGTCTACAACTTCCAAGCTAAAACGAAGCAGATTTTTTCATTTTAAAACCTAAAACATATGTTTTGTATCTCCAAAGAGTGGCTGGTATTTACATCCCTTCACGTACAGGTAGTGTCAGTATTTCAACAAGGCAATTTGAATGTTAAACACTATTTTAAAGGAGCAAAAAAAAAAAAAAAAAGCAATTTAACACATTCTCAATCTCAGGTTAAAACTGAGATTTGTTTTTTCCAGACAAAACAAGTATTTGGCTTCTTTGATACCTTACAGCAACTAAACAAGGTACAAAATCAACTTTACGGGAACAAAAGTTTCCAAAGGGGGTATTTTAATAAACAGTACAAAGTTAATGTCTGGATCTCATCAAGCACTAAGAAGGTTGCTCAAAAGTAAGAACACTGTTATTCAAAAAATGAATGGTGTTATGTGTAAGTTGTAAACTATGTAAACTATTAGTCCATCCCATGAGGGCTTAAATGTATCAGCAGAAGACCTGTAGTTAAACAATCCACATGGAACATTGCCTTAATGCTCAATATTCGGGTTTGGCTCTGGGCTGCCTGGTGTTACACTAAAACTGCCTTGAGAACCAAGAACAGGAAGCTGGTAACGGAATGGCTTAGGTGACCCAGGATGCTGCTGATCCTGAGATTAACTAACTGCCAGCAAAATGAAGGCGGGGGGGGGGGGGGAAATTCCCATTTTAAAAGCACTGAAAATACAAAAACACGAATTCTGGCAGAGAAGTTTTAGAAGTCGTAAATAGAAGTATAAACCACTGCTGGCCACTACAGTCACAATATTCACATTTCTTCATTCACGCTGAAGCACTTGAGTGCAGAATCTGCAGAGCAAGAAATTCCATATAAAAAGGAATTTAGCCTATACACTACTAGGTATATGAAAAGAAGAAAGCCCAGGGAGAAGCAGTGCACTGGGCTTAAGCTGCTTCAGTATAACCCCCAATCTTACAACAAGCAGTTGCCAGAATCCACTGCATAAGAATAACACTTACCCAGCACCTCTTCTAGCACTACTGACTTCAGCAACTGCTACCAGAGCAAATTTCAGCAGGTACTGGACGACTTTTTAAGAGGCACAGTCAACACCCCAAATTTTTCTGCAGGTAAATGAAAAGCATTCCTTCTTTCAAGCAAGGCATCAGCACCAGATCGCTGCTGTAACACAGCACATACCTCAGGTTTAGCAAATGCCTCAGAAAGTCTCCCTGATTTCCAGCACACCTCGCTGTTCTGCAGGCTGGGATTTTAACCGAGGGATGCCGAGTGATTTTTGGCACGCTCGGAGAGAAACATGAAAAGCCTCAAGTCTCGTCATGTAAAGCTTTTCAAAGCCACGGGGGCCTTGCTGCCAGAGAAACTCTGTCATGCTCTTACAGCTGTTGCCTTCCTTGTTCTCGAATCTGCTGTTTGCTTTGGGGTGAGGATGAGAACGAACAGATGAGAGGGGGCAGCTCCTTCCAAAGTGACCCAGAGCAGGCTCGGATTTAAAACTCAGGGCAGTGAAAGTCCATACTCAGTGAAGAGTTAAGAGAACACAAAAGCCTAGAGCCACGAGTTCATTTTGTTCTAGGCTACGTACTGAGTGGCCAGCCAGAAACTGAACCAGCTGGAATTCATTCAGAAGTCCTTCTTTCTTCCCAGAGCTCCCTGGGCTGTTGTTATCAACCTGAGGATAAACACATGGATCATCAAGAGGGAGTTGGTGCTGGAAAGAAGTGGCAGAGCCTAATAGCCCATAATAAATAAATGAAGTTTTGATCCTAACTTGGATCTTTGAACTGAGGTATAAATGTTTTTAATGTCTTAGGGGGAAAACTGCCCACACTAGATGGAATTAAACATTCCACTCACTTCTCTTCTCGATGGTTTCCTTGTTACCAGCTCTTGCACGCACCTATTTTTGTCTTCATTGCCATTCCACATTCAAATTATATCCAACAGGTTCCAGACTATTCCAGAGGCACGTGTAAAAAACTGGGAAAAATTACACCTTGACTATCCAGATAAAATTTAAAAAAAAAAAAATAATTCAGGCTGATTAAGTGCTGAGCTACAAAAGGGAAAAATTACTTTAATTTCCTCTACGAACTCTAAAATAGAGGTGCAAAGTTTAAAATCAGGAAGAGGGAAGCAAAACCGTGTTTGCCCGAATTAAATTCTTGGCGTCGCTTCTCTTCTTGAACAAGGTACATCAGCCGCTTTACAAGACTGTTTTTAATTCCTGGAAATTTTTTCAATCTCCAGGAGTTTGTCTTGCGATTATTCAGCCTGTTATAATCCCTTTCAACATCCGCCCAAGAGGCTGCAAATCACTCTCTCTGCTGTCTTTAGTCTCTCTCGAACCCTCCTTGTTTACAGATGAAAAGGACCGAGGGAGCCCCAAACACGCCCGTGGGGGTGAAGGGCACCGAGGGTACAAGGTGAGCAGCCACCTGGACAGCGGCCAGGGAATCAGGGTCGGGGAATCAGCTCGTCTGGGCTGCGTCAGCCCGGGCCCTGTGCCAGCCCTGCTGGACTCCCGGGGGGAGTGGGAGGGGACAGACATGGCACCGGGGACGGAGGGGGCTGCGAGTGGATGTGCGGGAATAAGGGAGCTGTGGCAGAGGGGAAGGAGGATGGGACAGAAAGGAGGCTTGTTCCAAAAAAGAGACTGCAATTACAGAGATATCAATAGCTTTGGGAAGCCACATTTTTATCATTCATTCACCGCCTTTTGTTCTTTTGTTACCACCAGTAGAGAATCACTGTTTCCTTCTATAGGATGTTCGTCCATCTGTTGCAGGAAAAACATCCCTACATAACCAACTTCCCGAGGAATTAGTATGAAAGCTTTTACGTAGAGGAGAAAAGCCCCATTTAATAACCAGTGCCATTTAAAAGCGACAATGAGAGAATGACGCATAAGAGACTCTTTTGGTGCTGCCGTTGTTACCGGGTAAGCCCCGTCTACAAGGAGCACGCAGACACGCTCCCTCCAATCCACCTAATCACCTATTAGTCACCCAAGTGGTAAATCCCTACAAGCACTTTGGCTGGGGCCGTGCAAGCGCCGGGTGAACCAAGTGACATCCGTTCCCGTCTGATTTCCTGGCAGTGGGGTGCACGTGATGGCCGCTGTGCCCGGGGGAATGTGGGTCAATCCGCGCGCGTGCCGGTGCTGGATGTGCCGGCTCTCGAGGGACGGGGCAGCACGGTGACTCAGGAGCAGCCCCGGCGCTGGGATCATCCCTGCTCCGTGCCGGGCTGTTCACACGGAGCGGATCCCGGAGCAGCGCGGAGCTCGCACGGCGGGACGTGCCATGTGCGTCCCGGCCACGCTCCATCCACGGCGATGGAGAAGGCTGACAGGCACGTGGCACCACGGCAGCCACCAAATGGAAACCTCTTCCTTCAGAAGTCATTAATCACTTGTCGTGTTTGGGTGTAAACACCCAGATTTAACAGCTGAGCGTTCCTCCCTGCAGCAGCGAGATGGACAATCCAGAACTGCTGCTGCTTCGGAGCTGGGAGTAACACCGTGCCAGCCTGGAGCAGGATTCCCCCCCAGGACATGTCCTAGCTGGATGTGGTTAACCAATAACCTCAGGGCAGCACCCCCTT